GGATGCGAGGTACGTGCAGAGCGCACACGGAGGCTCGGGGAGGGCGAAAAACAGGTACCTGGAAGCTTGAGAAGGCTGGAAATGGACCCGTTTTCTGGCTTCCAGAGAGCCTCCGGAGCCTGGGGAGGCCATTTTCTCTCTCCCGGAGGCTCAAGGAAAGCCTCGGGAGTCCGGGGAGGACAAAAACGCCCTCCCCCACTATGGTGCAGAAGGCCAACTAGGCCACACCCACCATGGCCACGCCCACCCAGCAACTGAGCAGAGAACTCCTTGCTAAAATTTTGGAAGCCCACTCGACCCCAGCCATGTGTAAACAGAGTGTCAGGATGTGTTTACACAACATTTATTTGAAATTCCCTTTCCCGTAATCGTAATCTGAAGCCTTTGGGGTAGGTGTCGTACAAAACAACTCTATTTCAGTTTCCCAAGGATCTGAAGAAAGCAATATATATATATATAGCCTCTGACTCATTTCTCCGTGAAACCTTAACCTTAAACACCTCCCTCATTTCTCCCTCAAGAAAAGTATAGTCCAGGGGTGTCCAACCTTGGCCACTTTGGCTGAGGAATTCTGGGAGTTGAAGTCCACAAGTCTTAAAGTGGCCAAGGTTGGACACCCCTGGTATAGTCCATTTATAAACTCAGCCCTTAACTGAAAAGCAGTACCCTAGAGCACACACTAACTAGATTTATATTGCACTAAATCACAGCCTGTCTTGTTTTGGCTAATGCGCTGTGTGTACTTAAGCAACGTGGCTCCTAAGCTATAATTTAAGCATAGTGTGTTGTGTGAGCCGCAACTAATTACATTATGCTAGACATGATGCATTGAGTTTGGTTGTCAGAGATTATTTCCTTACCAGATTCCTCAGTGCCTTCAACGGTGGCAGAGCTTCTAATGTACAGGTGGTCCTCAGTGACCCCAACGGAGGCCGAAATATCAGCTGCTAAGCAAGACAGTTGTTAAGGGTGCGTTCTCTCCCATTTTACGACCTCTCTTGTTAAATGAATCTCTGCCCTTGTGAAGTGAGTAACAAGATGGGCGAGTGAATCTGGTTTCCTCATTGACTTCGCTTGTCAGAAAGTAAATGGAAGACCATTGGAAAAGTTCTTAAAAATTCAGGGAGCTGTTCAGAGATGTATAGGGAGTCCTCGACTTACAGCAGTTCATTTAGTGACCGTTCAAAGTGACAAAGGCACGGGGAAAAAAATGACTCATGACCATCTTTCACATGTACAAGCATTGCAGCATCCCCACAGTCACGTGATCAAAACTTGGAAGCTTCCTTCCTTAGCAATAGCAATAGTACTTAGACTTATATACTGCTTTATAGTGCTTCACAGCTCTCTCTAAGTGGTTTTTACAGAGTCAGCCTCTTGCCCCCAACAAGCTGAGTCCTCATTTTACCCACCTCGGAAGGATGGGAGGCTGAGTCAACCTTGAGTCTGGTGGGATTTGAACTGCCAAATGGCAAGCAGCTGATAGTTAGCAGAAGTGGTCTGCAGTACAGCACTCTAACCACTGCACCACCAAAGCTCTTCCTTTCCTCTTTCTTCTTCTTTCCCCTCTTTCCTTATTTTTCCTTCCTTGCTCTCTTCCCATCTTCCCTTCTTTTTCTTTTTTCTTTCCTCTTTCCCTTTCTTCTTTCCTGTCCCTTCTTGGACAGGAAAGGGGGCCGGGGTGGATGTGGCCAGCTAGATGTCATTCATGTCGGGGGGCACCTGTGGTGGCCAAGTACTAAGGCAGGACTTCCTTCAGACCCTCCCTCATTATAAACTTCCTTCCTTCCGCCCTTCGGTCAGGACTCCAGTAGTTATCCCCCTTTAAATCATGAGGCTGTAGCCGAATTTTCAAAACTTTAAGAAGATTTATTCGGAGTAAACATGCGCCTGGGTGTAGCCGACTCTGAGACACATCATTCGTTGTCACCCTTGACCCTGGTTTCCCCCCACCCCCTGGATGTATCATAATTCATATTCACCAATGGGACACATCCATAGCCCAGAGTCATCAATCATGCTCTCCAGTTAGAATTTTGCACGGCAGAAACTTCAGTCACCTAGAAACTATCTTTGAAAACATTTATGGAATGCAAGTTGCCCACTACTCCCCCCTCCCTTTCTGTTGGCAACACTAAAAAGACCATAGAAATATTTTATGAGTTGACTCCCTCCCTCCCTTCCTTCCCTCCTTCCTTCCTTCCTTCCTTCCTTCCTTCCTTCCTTCCTTCCTTCCTTCCTTCCTTCCTTCCTTCCTCCCTCCCTCCCTCCCTCC